TCTTTCCTTTTACTTGCCACAATATATACTGTGTTTCTTGCCAGTGAGAGTGAAATATGGTTTATTACAACTCTTTTAATGTTTCGTAAAGCGCACACATGAACTTAAGCAATAAATAATTTGTTTTACTTTGTCATTTACTCATACTCGTGCCATTGCAAAAACTTTCATTCATCTAAAAAAAAAAGTTGAATTATATATATTTTAGGACAGCAGAACACTTAAGGTACCTACAGTAATTATATTATAACTAAAAATTAACTAAAAAATATCAAAGTTAAAGCTAAATGAAAATACACAGAAAAACCTAAACAAAAAATAAAATTAAATAAACACAACGATAGGCGAAGCAGTGGCGCAGTAGGTAGTGCTGCCGCCTCACAGCAAGAAGGTCGCTGGGTCGCTGGTTCGAGCCTCGGCTCAGTTGGCGTTTCTGTGTGGAGTTTGCATGTTCTCCCTGCGTTTGCGTGGGTTTCCTCCGGGTGCTCCAGTTTCCCCCACAGTCCAAAGACATGCGGTACAGGTGAATTGGGTAGGCTAAATTGTCTTTAGTGTGTGAATGTGTGTGTGTATGTTTCCCAGAGATGGGTTGCGGCTGGAAGGGCATCCGCTGCGTAAAAGTTTGCTGGATAAGTTGGCGGTTCATTCCACTGTGGCGACCCCGGATTAATAAAGGGACTAAGCCGTCAAGAAAAAGAATGAATGAAACACAACAATAGTATTTTAGTAATCGTATATAAGCATATAATTAGTCTTTTTATTATTAAATAGCAGCTTATATTGGACCATATTTCCCTCTTCGCTCTCCAAGCATGGTTCAGTTTTCTGAACCAGCCTCGTTTAGCCTGTTTTCAGGTTTACAAATGAGGTTTTAACGCTGCCTTTAACCTCTTACAACTTTACTTTAACAGATTCCTTAACCTTAACAAACCTTAACTGATCCCACGTTCTGATTCCACGTTGTACTGTAAAGGATGCTTGTGACTGTATTCTGATGGCATACCAATACAATACAACATTTTGTTATTTCTTTGCATTAGTCTAATGCTATTGTCAAATGGCAATTTTTAAAAATATTTTTATATATAAATGTTTATTTCAGTGAAGTATCTGAAGTATTCAGTGTCTTCTGTGTTTCTCAGCTGTACGCTTCATGTCTCAAATTTTGAAATGTTACCATAGTAATAGTCTTTTTTAGTTAAATATATGTTTTTTATTAGGAAATAATTTATATTAATATTTCAGATTAAAAAAAAACATTTATAAAATAAAATGTATAGGGGGCGAGGCAGTGGCGCAGTAGGTAGTGCTGTCGCCTCACAGCAAGAAGGTCGATGGGTCAAACCTCGGCTCAGTTGGTGTTTCTGTGTGGAGTTTGCATGTTCTCCCTGCCTTCGCCTGGGTTTCCTCCCGGTGCTCCGGTTTCCCCCACAGTCCAAAGACATGTGGTACAGGTGAATTGGGTAGACTAAATTGTCCGTAGTGTATGAATGTGTGTGTGGATGTTTCCCAGAGATGGGTTGCGGCTGGAAGGGCATCCGCTGTGTAAAAACTTGCTGGATAAGTTGGTGATTCATTCCGCTGTGGCGACCCCAGATTAATAAAGGGACTGAGCCGACAAGAAAATGAATGAATGAATAAAATGTATAGGTCTACGTATATAATATACATATTATCCAAATTTGTCCATACTTACAAAAATAATTAGCACTGGTCTCATCAGGAATAGTTGAATGAAACTTAACTAGTAGATCTGAAAATGAAGTTCACACTGCAAACGCTTAGCTCTGATTTTTGCTTGTTGACGTGGGCAACATTTCCACAGTGCGAATAATCAAAAACTCAATCAGAGACAATCACCAAGGTCTGCAAAATATTTGGCATGCTAAATATCTGGACTTGTCTGTGATTAAAAATCATGATGTGTGAATGAGTTCTGACAGAATAAAGCATCAGCAATGATCAACAGCCAATGAGAGAGCAGGATACAGGTCAGTGGAGGAGTTATAGACCACAATATATATAAAAAATTAATTTACAATAACATTAAACAGAAACAAAGGAACATTTGCTTGATCAGTCAAAATTATTGATTGACTTCCACTTATTTTTTTCGGTTTGTTCAATGCATCACCCTAAACATTTCCTCCTCCACAATTTTCTTTTCATTTTGCCCCTTTGTTGTAAATCAGGGGTCACCAATCCTGGTCCTGGAGGGCCGGTGTCCCTGCAGGGTTTAGCTCCATCTTGCCTCAACACACCTGCCTGGATGTTTCAAGTATACCTAGTAAGACCCTGATTAGCTTGTTCAGGTGTGTTTGATTAGGGTTGGAGCTAAAATCTGCAGGACACCGGCCCTCCAGGAACAAGTTTGGTGACCACTGTTGTAAATCATTCAGCATTCAGTGCGTGGACCATTTGAATAGCAGATCATTTAAAATATTTATTGCAGGGAACAATTTCCAGTCTTGGATTTTGAGTGATCTTATCATTTCTCGTGTGTGTTTGTGAGCCAGACAGAGTGGTCAGCAATTGATTTGTAGTCATACAGTGTGTATCCTCCTGTCGCAGATCCATCATGCAGTATGAACACAGCAGCAACTGAACGCTACTCGAGATGAGTGTTTCCCAACCCTGTTCCTGGAGGCACATCAACAATACATATATTGGATGTCTCCCTTATTAGAACAGTTCATTTCAGGTTTTCAAGTCTCTTCAAATGTTCTGATGATTTGATTCAGGAGTGTTTGAATAGGAAGAGGTTGATGTTTGTGTACTGTTGGTGTGCCTTTTGGAACGGTTTTTGTAATTGTTTTAGCTTATTTTAAATAAGTAGTTTAAACAAACAACATACATAATTTTTTAGAGTGTAACGTCTAACACTGATTTACCAGGTACCAAGCAACCTAGAATGAAAGTCTTTCTATTTGTATGCTAAGATTTGTTGTGATATTTCAGGCGAGGCAATGAGACGTCATCCTTCAGCAGCACACCGAGACGTACTGGAGGAGGAGGCCGACGGGGAATCATCGACAGCTCGGATGCTGCGGAGGATGATGCCGACATGCAGAGCGATTACAACGGAACCAAATCTAATGAATAAACATCACCTTTCAAAATACCTTCTAGTCAAAAAACCAAAGTCTACTTTTACATGGGTCATTATTTAGTTTCTAATATATTTGTTTGACCGCAACAAAGCACTGCGCTCTGACTTGGTATTTGGCCAGTCATGATTTCTATATTTTTATTTTATTTTATTAGCAGTTATAGTTTTGTTAGCTCATTTATCACAACCCCCAGTTTTTACATTGATCGTTGTGGATGCAGACCTTCTAAAATTTCATCTAAACAAGTGTTTTGTTTATTAAAAACCTTTTTCTTAGTTAAAAACCTGGTGGTTTTTAGAGTTTACCTTCACTCAGATTTGAGGTAAAATATCTTCTTTGTTTTATTCTTTCATGTCTCAACTGCAGGTAAATGACTGTTCACTGTTTTTACTGCATAATTTCCTGCACTTTTTCATTTATTTGCTATATATTCCTGAAATACAGCTTGCACAAGCAACAAAATGGATCGTTTTGAGGAATTCTGGAGGTCATCGATTTTTTTCTCCCAATTACCAGTGTGTCTTGGTGTCAAGTTTTTAGTTTTTAATTATTACTGTAGACACCGAGTACTTTTGGATGCTGAAATGAAATGTATTGATATTTACATGATATCAATGAAGGCATGTATCGTTCCTGAAAAGTAGTTATAAAATATAACATATGGAAATGTTACCTCTTTATCATACAGTCAGGTACCTTTGAAACCTCTGTAGTTTTTTTTTTTTTATATAGCATTTTATGTTCCCTCTGAATGTTTGCTTAAAGTATTTTCTTAAAAACCGTCAAATATTATGGTTATTATTTGCCTAAAAGTGTTTCAATATTTGTAACAGACTTGCAATTCAAATTCATGCCGTCGATTAGAGATCTTTTGACATAGAATGCCTGTAAAAGAACTTTGAAAATATATAAATATATATAAAGTTTTATTTTTCCAATACGTTCACTTGGCACAATTTAAAGTACATTGGGAATGCCATGTCATTGGATTTATTCACTTCCATCTAGTTATTTGTGAAACCACATGCACATGAAATAAAGTCTGAAAATAAATCTCTTGTATTCTTCTTTTAAATTATGTTTACATGCCGAAATGCTGTTTTAAATTGATCTGTTTGGTTACATATTTATTTTTAAACTTATATCACATGTTTGAATTAAAAGTGATGCAAAATTATTGTTAAAATATGGAAATATTAACAAAAAGGCAAAATTGGTACATTACTTATAGTAATTTTGGCTAGCATAATACTCCTAGTAAATTGTACAGTATTAAAACAATATTTATGTATATGTCTGTATAAGCTTTACTGTATACCCACAATGTCACCATGTCTTTAAAAAAATAATACAAGGCATACATTCAACTGCTAATTATCTCAATTATATCAAATAAATATATTGTCAGCCAGTCATCACAGCAACTATGCATTTATTTAATGCAATGTTACAGGGTTGCCAAGTCCGCTGTTTCCCCGCGGTATTTTGTACTTTTAACCACTTTCCACGTGTTATCTTGATTGCATAGATTTTATTTATATGTTTGTGTTAAAATGTTTTACTTTACCAAATACTGATGTTAAGAGTGCTATAAAATGAACTAGGCTGTTGAAATAGAGTAAGCACAAGTGTGTGTGGTCCATGCATGGGTACTAAATGTGAAATGTGTGCTGCTGTGTCATATACTGTCCAGTTTTGTTGCAAATTTTTTATTTATTTATGAAAACAATGTTTGTAATTGCTAATATAAACAGTGATTTTCACAAATACAAGGATAAATAAGCCTTTTACGTATTGGCAGTAGAATATAGAGTTTTGTTATTGGGATAATTTTGCAAATGATCTAGTTTTGTAGCGAAAACCTGGCAACCCTGCGTCGTCAAAACAGTCTGCTAAGTTAAGACCACCTAGCTATGACCTTTACCTTCCTAATTTCCAGTAACTCGGTACGCATCATTAAACAACAAACAGAACAGCAGAACTGTGAGTCCCTGCCATTAAAAATCTATACCCCAGTTCACGAGGAAGACTTTTATCACTTCAGATATTTACGCAAATAATACATCGAACACATCCGAAACACCACAAACATTTTTGTCATGGCGGAATACCACCTGAAATAACGGAATGGTAAATTGCAGAATTTGGACTGTCCCGCCTTTAGTGTTTCGCCATATGTATGCTCATGGGCTACCGTACATTCAGACACTTTTAGAAGCAAATGGTAAGATTTAGTACTAATAATGACACCAGGTGCATTATGGATTATGGTCATGGCTGGAATATGCATGCAGAGCTCAGGTACGTACGCTATATTTAATTATTCAGATTTTCATGTCAATAATCTAATGACAAGTGTTAAATTTGGATTTGAAGACGGAACCTAATTGTTAAATGTTATTTTTGAACCATATATGGTATAGTACAGTTGATTAAATCTGTTGTGGTGATTCTGTAATTGAAAACTATAGTAGCCTAATATAAACAAATGACGCATTACTGGGCTAGGTTTTCTACAATTATATTTTAAAATGAACCGGTGTCTTGTACTAAAACCTAAAGTACACTATAGTATTTTTTACCGTTTATAAGTTCACTAAATTAGTACTACAGTAAAATATGCGAAATATATGTAATAATATACACTCACCGGCCATTTTATTAGGTACACCTTACTAGTACCGGGTTGGACCCCCTTTTGCCTTCAGAACTGCCTTTATCCTTCGTGGCATATATTCAACAAGAAATATTCCTCAGAGATTTTGGTCCATAATGACATGAAAGCATCACGTGGTTGCTGCAGATTTGTCAGCTGCACATCCATGATGCGAATCTCCTGTTCCACCACATCCCAAAAATGCTCTATTGGATTGAGAACTGGTGACTGTGGAGGCCATTTGAGTACAGTAAACTCATTGTCATGTTCAAGAAACAAGTCTGAGATGAGTCACGCTTTATGACATGACGCGTTATCCTGCTGGAAGTAGCCATCATAAGATGGGTGCACTGTGGTCATAAAGGGATGGACATGGTCAGCAACAATACTTAGTAGGTTTTACTATATTTTACTATAGTCTGGTTCAAAAACTATAGCATTTACTATGAAATTGGTAAATATACTTTTGTTTATTTATTTTTATTTTTTGCAGCGAGTATATTTATCTCAATAGCTATTTAGTAGCATTGTTTAATTAAGCTGATGTACTTTGTCCAAACATACATCGCCCCAAATTACTATAATTAAATAATTTACAAAAGATGAATTATTATGTGACCATCTGAGGTTTTAATACAGATAATAAGATCATGTTTTTATAGCGTTACATTACATTGTGAGGTTTTTTTCAGCACGAGTTTTTTAGCACCACAGTTGTTGATTCCAGTTGGTATATATTGGCATATGTTGAAATAAACATTAAACATTTTCTCATGTTATAAGCAAATACGCTGCACTTGTGTAAGGGGATTATCATAAATTATGTTTTATCATTAATATGATAACAAGCTACACCTACAGCAGGATCCCAATGCCAAACTCCAAAAAAAGTAACATTTATGATAATTCAATATGAAGGCAGTATTAATTGTGCTTTGATTATATTGAAATAATTCTTTATGTATTTTACAGCTGTGCATCTGAGGAACATGGAGCACTTTATTACTGCTGTTGCACATTTAGAACATTTAAACCCACAACTGAGTTCACTGGCTTTAGTGTCGAATCTATGCCAGATTGCAGACCAAACACACAATGTCACTCACGGTTTTATGAGATCATCTAACAACGAAACTGAAACTCATCCGAAAATCAAAGAGCGGCTAAATATCAACCTCAATCTCTCTCATTTCTTCAGCCAAGCACTTCATCATTTTATAACAGCTGCTTATGAAGAAAAGGGAGTTGTTCTGACTCCCGATGGCACAACGGTTGCCCTCGCTCCCCTACTTTTAGGTCTTGAATCTGGACTACGAGCAGAAAACGTCAGTAGCCAGCCTAATGGATTCTACCTACATCCACTGGCCAGGACGTTAGGCTTGTCATTTCTTAACTCAACTCCAACTGTGAGACTTGGTGCAGAGGGTTGTTGGGACAGTGTATCTGCACCAATGGTTTTTACTCTCTCCAACTTTCCGTCTTTGGTCACTGATGCTGTGGTTCATGGTGGAATGGATGGAGCCATACTTGGGAAGCACCTTTCTGTTGTTAATTGCTCTAAAATGAATGTAAGCACACTGCTGAGGAGTTACTACTTAAGGACTGTGGAAGAGCTGGATGATGTTTTGGATCCTCATCTGAAAGGTCGAAATCGCAGACAGAATTTTCAGAAGATCACAAGTTCTTCACTGCTTCAAGAGAAGGTAGCTGGTGTACTCCCTAGTCAAGGGGACGCTGAGTTGGAGAGTCTTATAGCAAAAGGAATCAAAGAATTTGTGCTACGTTACATGGGTAAGTTAAGGTACTGTCTGTCAACTTGGTCAAGTTCTGAACTGCTTTACAGATAATTTACTCACCCCTTGTCATCCAAGATATTTTTGGCTTCATAGTCATAAAGAAAATATGTATTTTGAGCAGAACATTTCAGATTTTGTCCATGTAGTGAACTTTAAAGTAGGCTCATTTTACAAGTCTCTAATAGTTAAACAGTTGAGTTGAGTACCATTTTTGAATCCGATCATCCAATCTCCATGTTTGGCGGGATCACTTTTAGATCAATTTAGCATAAATCATTGAATCAGATTAGGCCATTAGCATCTCACTCAAATTGAAATATTGTTTTATAAGTTTCGATAATTTTCCTTTATCTATTTTCTTCCAGAATGAGAGAATAGTTCCTATCCATATTGACCTAGAAAATAGCTAGAACCTTTTTTTTTATTGAGTGAGATGCTAATGGTCTAATCCGATTTAATTGGATTTATGCTAAGCTAAGCTAAAAGTACTCATGCCAGACCTGGAGATCAGCTAATTGGGTTAAAATTTGTAAAACCCAACTGTTAAATTGTAAGGGAGTTGTAAAATTAGCTGAATTCAAAAAAAAAGTGGCATGTTAGTTTAATATGGTTTTTTGCTGCTCGGGACCAGCACATGATCACAAGAACTAGCAAGAACTTTACAAATGCAGTTTAAATGCAGACTTAAAGAGTTTTAAATTATCACAGCTGAGAAATAAGAGTTTTACCTAGCAAACCTATCTGTCATTTTCTAAAAACGTATTTATTTTTACATTTATTTTTTATTTTTTGCCAGTGGTCATGCTGTAGCATTTAAGCAGGAAAAACCATAATTTATTTACAGAAGAAGATGAAGAAAGAAAGAAAAAAAGTGAATTTCTTGGAAGACTTTGGGTTGAGTAAATTATCAGTAAAGTTTTGTTCAGAAAGTGAACTGATCTTTTAAACCACTAAATACCACATTGAGAAAAGTGTTCTTCCTTCAGATTGCCCGAGCATCATTCCTAGATGTATATGGGGTGCAGCGCCACCTCAGGTTCCTCTTGAACTCCTCTCTCCACCAATGTCATTTCTGTACATTCACCACACAGCAATACCCAGCAAACCCTGTCTAAACCTTCAGACGTGCTCCCAAAACATGAGGGCAATGCAGCGTTTCCATCAGAAGGACTGGGGCTGGTATGACATCGGCTACAGGTACTATCATCTTGATATATATTTGAGACATATACTCTGTTCTAAATCAAATAATGCACTTTACAGTGTGACTTTCTTTTTAAGTAGGTCCACTTTTGTATGCCAGGGTTAGACTATACTCTCAAAAAATTATGAGTAACCCAACATTGGGTCAAATATAGACAAACTCAAAGTTTGTTTGCTTTTTTCAATTAAATTTAAATTACTCTTTTGAACCCATCGGTTGGGTTTGCTCGTGTTTGACCCAACACTGGGTTACAGCAACCCAGCATTTTTAGAGTGTATACAAAATATATATTTTTGGTAGGATCCACTTGACATATATGTCATGGTGATCAGTGAATGACAATGGCACAAAACCATGTGCATTATTCTAAATATAACTAGTGCAAGTAGTGTGTTAACACTGACAAATCCAGAATCAAAAAGTGTACTTTGGAGGGCACCTTTGGTGAAAAGCTTTTTGGACAGACGTGTGTAGGTATAGTGTATATACTGTCATATTGGGGTGATATAAATACACACAGTCCTTTTTTTATTTTTTTTTTCAAATTTAACAACATAAAATTGGTGCCAACGCATGCCTCCCACCAGTGCTGGTATATAGCCATATCGCACTGCTACTCGTGTGAAATTGCTCATATATATATATATATATATATATATACAGTTGAAATTACCTGGATTATTAGCCACCCTTTCCCCCCAATTTCTGTTTAATGAAAAGAAGATTTTTTTCAACACATTTCGAAACATAATAGTTTTAATAATTAATTTCTAATAACTGATTTCTTTTATGATTTTATTTCTTTTATGATGACAGCATATAATATTTCACTTGATATTTTTCAAAATACAAGCATTCAGGTTAAAGTTTAACAAAATAAATCAAATAAGACTTTCTCCAGAAGAAAAAAATATTATAGGCAATACTGTGAAAAATTCCTTTAATTTATTTAATAAAACATAATTTGGGAAATATTTATTTTAAAAAATTCACAGGAGGGTAAATAATTTTGACTTCAACTGATAATCGTTTTGAATAATCGTGATTATGGCTTTTCCCATAATTGAGCAGCCCTAATTCCAACATATGTTTTACGCAGCGGATGCCCTTCCAGCTGCAACCCAGTACTGGAAAACACCCATACACACTCATTCACACTTATACACTACGGCCAATTTAGTTTATAAATTCACCTATAGCGCATGTCTTTGGACTGTGGGGGAAACCGGAGCACCTGGAGGACACCCATGCCAACATGGGAAGAACATGCAAACTCCACACCGTGCTCCCCACATTTGCTTTATTAAAGTTGAAAAGCATTAGGTATACATAGCTCAGCAAAGTTAAAATTTGATTTTGTTTATTCACAACTGGCTATTTTAACAAAATACTAAATGTAGGAATCAATCAAATTTAAGTAAGCAGTCAAAATCAATGACGACACAGTTACTGTCTATCTAGAGCATTTAAAACAAATTTAGATTTACATTTCAGTTAATATATTGCAACTAACTAAGGCAATTCTAGAACAGTTATATGCATAACATGGCATATGCAACCCCATTTTATTTATTTATTTACGTATTTTTTAATTAAGCTTTGTGGTTGGGTCTGATGGATACATCTATGAAGGTCGTGGCTGGATGTCACAAGGGGCTCACACTAAAGGACGCAATAACGTGGGGTATGGTGTAGCTTTCATTGGCGATTACTCTGGTCGTTTACCCTCCACTCATGACATGGAACTGGTGCGCCATCATCTGGTCAAGTGTGGAGTGAACAATGGATTTCTGCAGGAGGATTTCACCATTCTCGGACACAGACAAGTAGTAGTAACCACCAGCTGCCCAGGAAATGCCCTTTACTCTGAGATCACAACCTGGATGCACTATAAAGTATGTAGGATTCCACAGTCCTAAATGTATCGAGCATCTTTCAAAAATGCAGTTAAATGCTTGAAATACTTTTCATCTACAATGTTAAAAGAATCTAAGATCAGCAGTTTTACATATTTTGTGATTCATGTTTTTATTTAGTTTATTTATGCTTTTGAATTGCATTATGGGACATTGATCTTTCTTCCAACAACTTTTAACTTTGAAAAGTTAAAAAAGTGGTATTTATTAACATTTTGGCTTTGTGTTGTACACTATGTGACAAAAGTCTTGCCGCCTATGCAAGCTTTAGGTACAACAAATAATAACTTGACTTCTAGTTGATCATTTGGTATTAGAAGTGGCTTATATGAAAGACAAAGGCCTCTAGATTACGCTTATTTTACCAAAATAAAATATGATCATGCCTTAAATTAATTATTTAATTAGGCCAGTAAGGTCTGACTTTGCTTAGACAAAAGCCTTGTCACTTAACAGAAATAATGTACAGTATAGAATATAAAGGCATGGTACAGTGGAAAAAGAATTAATATTGTGTATGACTCCCATGAGCTTGGAGGACTGCATCCATACATCTCTGCAATGACTCAAATAACTGAATAAAGTCATCTGAAATGGCAAAGAAAGCGTTCCTGCAGGACTCCCAAAGTTCATCAAGACTCTTTAGATTCCCCTTCAATGACTTTTCCTTTATCTTACCCCAGACATGCTCAATAATGTTCATGTCTGGGGACTGGGCTGGACAATCCTTGAGCAGCTTGACCTTATTTGTTTCAGGGACTTTGATGTGGAGGTTGAAGTATGAGAAAGAGCGCTATCCTGCTGAAGAATTTGGCCTCTCCTGTGGTTTGTAATGTGATGGGCAGCACAAATGTCTTAATACTTCAGGCTGTTGACGTTGCCATCCACTCTACAGATCTCTCAGTCTCCCCCATACTGAATGTAACCCCAAACCATGATTTTTCCTTCACCATACCTGACTGATTTCTGTGAGAGTACTGGCTCAATGCGGGTTCCAATAGGACTTCTGCAGTATTTGTGATGATTGGGATGCAGTTCAACAGATGATTCATTAGAGAAATCTACCTTCTGCCACTTTTCCTTATGATCAACTAGGAGTCAAGTTATTATTTATTGCTTTTATAACTGGGATTGATGACAAGACTTTTGTCAGGTTGTGTATATTATGCTACAAAATCCTTGTAATATACTGCCAGTACATTTTCTGTAATTTTATGTTTAATACACATCTAATAGATGGATGGTTGGATGGATGTTTTGACTAAAACAAGGCTAAGTTTTCTGTCAGTGAAAACATAATAAATGTCTAAAAATAGCCCAAAATTAGACCAATCAACAAATACACTGATTATACAGACTTCCCATGTGTAGTTTTTATTCATGTGTATATGATAACTAGTCTAGTTTTGGGCTATTGTACTAGATTTTTACTCACAGACACAGGGGCCAAATATACCCTTGTTTTAGCAAAGATGTCTTTATTTAGACGTCCATTAGACTTCTATTAGATATCTTTTAAACACAGAAAATGCTTGCTGGATCATTTCTTTATATATTATTTCTTATACATTATATTATTTTAAACTAGTAAACTGTTGAGTTGAATTTTCGACATCAAAAGTCAACAGTGCAGAAATCAAGCTCCCATAATGCAGTTACCAACCATATTTAAACGGAAAACACTTGTGAACCACAAAAAACAGAAACTGTTACACAACAGATATTTTTTATAGTGTACATACTACATGCAAACTAAGAGTTTTTGTTTCTACTATGTTTCTTACAGGATAAGGATCCTTTGAAGTAACATTGGAGATCTCACTGACACGTCATGGTTTATAGTGCAGGACTGCTACAATAACTAAGCCTTTTAATTTGTCTGAAAAAAACATGAGGAAAGATTGATGGTAATTCTATGTTATTCATTCATTCATTTTCCTTCAGCTTACTTCCTGATTTACTAGGGGTCCCCACAGCAGAATGAAACAATATTAATAATAATCATTTGTTTTGTTTATACAGTCCCCACACCTAAAGACACTGTATAATCTATGTTGATCCTGGAACATAATTTTTGTTCGAAAATGTAATTCATACCTATTCCCTACCACTATCCCAACCATAACAGCAAATTATTCCTAAAATCAGAGGGTAATAATAGTTGGAAAACAATCATGAAGTGCATAAACCTAACCGTTAGCCTAAACTTAACTGTAAACGTATCCCTTAATTCTGATAGGCTGAGAGGAATGTTGTTCCAGGATCAACATAGATGTTAATCCAGGAACTTGTCCTACTTGGTCAAATTAGGTTGGCGACTGTTTTAAATGTTGTGTATCAAGACTTTTTGTCTGTTTTTTGTCCTCAAACCTCTTCTTTTTATAAGAATAGATTCTTGCTAATCTCATCCTAAGCCTTTTTGTTCGGCTTTGAGTCTTGACTGTGAAACTGAAATACAGTCAAGGCCTTTAGCTGTGTGTTTATCTAAAACATCTGCAAACCTTAATCAGCCAATCAGAATCAAGCATACAAACATTTAAATTTAACACTGAACTGCAAGGTCAACGGCATGAAACCAAACCAGACATCTTGGTTGAGTGTCTAAATGAGATTTATGAAACATTACTGTGCGTACGTGAGAATTACGTGTGCAAAAATAAACTGTGATCTCCAGTCTTACTCGTTTAATTTTTTTATGCTACAGCTAGATTGAAGAAAAGGTTGACACGATTACTTCTAGTTTTTTTCTTTTTTTACCACCACAGGAAGTGGTTTTCATAGCAGGCCCAAGAGTGAGAAAGGAAGTGTGCTGCTGTTGTGACAGGAAACGTAACAGTCACTGAACAAAACAAGCAGGTATTTGGGGTAAACCGTCAAACTTGTGTGTCATTTATTAACTAAATCCAATCAGCATCATGTTATGCTTGAATAATAATCTTTCTATTTTCATTTTAAAACCATTTTTGTTTCAAACTGTAAGTAAGACAAACATTAAATAAAAGATTATGCTCTCCCACAGTAGTTTTTGATCAATTGGAGCAAATAAAGCAGGACAGGCAGTTTCTGGTTCTGTCAGGTTAGGTTTACAGATTGATAAAAAGCTGAGAGATGCATCATCAACCTGTAAACCTAACCTGACTTCCCCACCCACAAACTGACTGACTTCCTGAACGCTACACGATAAGTGCGCACAGAAAAAAAACAGCTCATACCTATAAAAACTGAAGACCTGCACAATAAGGAGCACAAATTTAGTCCCAAAAAGCATTTTTGGGGGCAAATACTAGACTAGAGTGACTAGTGTAAGAGAAATTAAACCTCAACACTCACTCAAAACCAGAGAGGTTTTAAAGCTGATGATGCGCAAAACAGTTTGAGGAAGTAGCTAATAGGTGAAGTGAGCTGATGATGAAATCCTGAAAACTTCATGATGATGCAAAGGATTTAAACTGGTAGGTGAATCCATACACTTTCTGGTACTGTAAGAAAACATTCACAGAAAGTTCACCGAGAACGAAATCTAAGATGGGTACAAACAAAGAGTCAAATGCTGAGCAGGCTGGAGCAGCATCGCAGATTGAGGAAGACATGGAGCTGGTTCCTGAACAGAACAGCCCGGTTGATCAAGACCCACGACAAACAGAGGATGGCAAGCTGCTTAATACATACAAGTGGCACACTGGAGCCAAGGCTGAAACAGTGGCACAGGGTGCCATTGAAAGGCTGGAGAAAGGGGCTTCAAACAAGTGGAACAAAATGCAGAGCTGGCGCAAAGCTCTGAGTGAAGACCCTGGGGAAAAGTCCTCAACTGCAAATCGAGGAGGAGAAAGCCCCTCCAAACCAGACAAGCCGACAACTTCAAGGAAAAACCCTTTTCGCAGAGCTCTTTCGGAGCCACCGGGGTCCCTCCTGGCCTCCTCGGCCCCCGCGTCTTCGAGCGCACAGGCAACAGGGTCCACCGTCCAGGACACGACACAGAGAGGCAAAATCAGAAAGTACCTGCAAACGGTCTCGCAGAGGTTCAAGAAGCCTCGTCTGCAGAGTACTGTCACAGAGCATGGTAAGAGATGCAATGTTAGATGCTTTTTTTCGTTATTACTATTGTTGTGACATCATTATTTTTAGATTTATTATTTTTATCACACTTTGTCGTTGGCGCAGCTTCAAGTAAATTTTTTTACAGTGATCTATATATTAATTTTTTATTATGATTTTTTATATTATTATGCAGTTTCCCAGTACCGGGTTGCAGCTAGAAGGGCATCCACTGCGTAAAACATATGTTGGAATAGTTGGTGGTTCATTCCACTGTGGAAAATAAATGATGAATGAATATCATTATGTAAAGAGATACATGAAACTAGATGATACAGTTCAAAAGGTATAAAAAAAAAGCTTACAAACAACACGCAAGATAGTCAACAACAGCCAGATTTGTGTGTGTAATAGTAAAGAGTAGGGTTGGGCATCTAAGCTATAATGCCGATCCGATACGCATCTCGATACAAAGAATACGATCCGATATATTAGCGGTACATTTGTGACATATTGCGATGCAACACGATACGATTCACACACATATCACGATACGATGCGATATTTCAGCACTAACTAATTAGATTTATGTTTATGAGATGATGTGAAAGAGGATGCTGTGCCATTGAATGAGTTTGATTATTTATAAACCAAGCAAAACCAAGACTTTTTTTTACAAACTGGCTCTTCTCTCAGAGCCAGAGTGTCAGTTTACAGTAGAGGGCCATTTTAGAACATATAGCTCATATTATTTAAGTATTTTCAAGATAAACAGAATGTATAAGTGCAATATATATTAAAAAATATGTATATATTTGCACTCTTTCAACATAAATAAATTTAGCATTGCACAACAAGAATTGTGATTTAACTTTTCAACTATGAAAACAAGTTTTACAAAGATATATTTTGCCACTGATTATTCAAAACTTAAGGTTGTGAACTAGCAGTGTTATGCTGCTTTGAAACATCACTGTCACTGTAAACAACAGGCTAATAAAAATATAACAAACCAGCAATCTTCTTGCTGTGAGGTGGTCAAACTACCCACTGTGCCACCGTGACACCCAATTATTTTTATCATTATTATTATTAATATTATTATTATTATTATAATTAAATAAAAATTAACAGGAGGAGGTGTTTAAAACCTTAGTTCTCCGTGACACTAAGCTGAATATCTTTGCAGATGAACAATGCAATAGCATTCGTTATTGGCGTAGAGCGAGCAGAACTGTTGCGCATGGAAAAAAAACTTGCAATGCTTTTCTCACCACTTTTGGAACTGGTTGAAGCAGTGCGAAAGCCGGGGATGCAGAAACACTGGAAGATGCTTCCACAACAACACCGTGGCGCCGCTTCAAGTGAGATATCAGATTAGTCGTACTGCCCGCGTATTTTACAGATGCGCGGCACATTTTGCAAATTGCATCTGTCCTGTCATGTCGTCCATCCTTAAATCCATAATGTTGCTTGCCATACTTTAGATTTAAAACTCAGTGGGGAATATGTTCGTTTTGCTTCTCGCGCTTTCTGAGGGCGCACCACTAGCTTCATCCGCACACCTGATACACTGAGTTGTAGTTTGTGCACATCCGCAAATCCGTTGCTAAGGCTTACTTTATGTAGGTCGATTAAATTATGCGCCAAAAACAGGTTGACAACACTTGTTAATAAATAAAAAATACATTCTATATTAAAAATATAAGCTGTATAAGGAAAAATCGATGCATCTCGCAAAAAACCGATGCATCTCGATTTGCTTCCAAAATTTCATTCATCCTCTGCTGCTCAACCGATGCACTCGCATCGTGCACGCGCATGACCGCGTATCGATACATATCGGTTAATCTTCCCATCCCTAGTAAAGAGTATACACATGGAAGGATATAAACACCACCAACATAAAAACACAAAAGTACAGCATGCTTAACATGGATATCCATGTTTGTGGCATCACATATTACTTTTATCATCACCAACTTTAGTATTATTATTAATATTATCATATTTTAATTATGAATGCTATTTAAATACTACATTGTCATTTCTAATTATACATACTTCTATTGCTGTTTGTTTTCTGTGTTCACCATATAAAATGTGTTTGCAAATTAAATTATATGCTAAATATTTCATTTAATCTATGATATGTGGAGGTTTTTAGATGTACCTCTGTTGGACGGCTGTGTGAACTTGCTTATTAAAATGATTGCACATGCAGATGCCACTAAATGGCGCTAAAGAATGAGGGTACAACAACAGGATGTGACATTGAGATGGAATATTAAACAACAAGTCAAGTCATTTTTATTCCTATAGTGCTTTTTTACAAACTACTTACTTAAAATGAGCTCAAACATCACAATTCTTGAAGGTTTTCAAGGACAACTTAATTGTTTTATGTTCGATCCACTTAAATTTGTAACATCTAATAAGTGAACTTAATTCCTTCATGTTGGCCCAACACAAAGAGATTGTGTGGAACCCAGCATTTGAGTTCAATATACAAATATCACTGTTGAAGTTCAATTCCGTTAAATATAAACGTCACTGTTGAAGGCTGTGATATATTAGTGATATATGCCTTCACTGAAGAAAATATTAGTATTAGCAAGATTATTAGCTCACACTTTATTTTTATGGTTCGTTTGTTGAACCTTAAGTTACATAACATCTACATGCCAACTAATTCTCATTAGCTTAGACTGTTGTGGTTAAGGTTAGTGTAAGTTGACATGTACTTGCACAGTTTCTTATTGTCGGTTAAATGTCTGTTTAGCAGCAGTATACTAATACTCAAATGGATCATCAAAATAAAGTGTTACCGATTTTTACTGCAATCATTTTTAAATGTAACCCTATTAAAGTTAAAATTGGATATAATTGGAGGTCAGTAATGGTATTAAGTTGGTATTGGTATTAAGATGTTTTCGTCAAGCCAATCAGTGAAACGTTTTAAGTTTTTAATCACTTCCTAAGGTAGTGGAAAACACATTTAATCAGATTGCTTTCGGTGTGTAATTGCTCATGCAAAAAGCCATCTATTCTCCACCTACTGACCGAACACCAGAATGTTACGGGATGTGTTGTCAGACAGCACACTAAAACAAGTTGTGCATCAAGCTGCAATGAATCAAAGCATACAAATCATGAAAAAAAATTGTACTTGCCATCCACTAAATGATCGTACAGGGACATGTTTGAACATTGCGGGCGGAAAGAGTCTCATCTGACCACTTTCATGAATAAAAATAAAGATGCTAAAGAGGTTCACCACCTTGTAGTGATTCTTCAAAGAACTTTTTTCAGTGTGAAGAATATTTTGTGAAAAATGTAGTTGTCCAGCCATTCATTCGTACTGGCAGGATGTAATACAAGTAATACAAAATATTTTTGGTGATGGAACAGACTTCTCTTTTACAACTGTTTACTTGGGAAATATAGCAGCCAACTTAATAGTAAAAGACAAGTATTTATTAATAATACTTTATAGCAAACAGCAACAAAATTGTAATTCTGAAGTGACTACAACTCAAACCCCCTACAAAATCTGAATGGTGAGATATTGTATCTCAATATGTTCAAAATATAGAGAGGATGCGTTTTCATTAAAACTACAAATGTACAAATACCTGCAATAT